GGAAAGATTTTTAAAGGATAAAGTAATAATAATTACCCTTTAATATAATAGAAACATAGAAACATAGAATGTGACGGCAGATAAGAACCATTCGGCCCATCTAGTCTGCCCAATTTTCTAAATACTTTCATTAGTCCCTAGTCTTATCTTATAGATAAAAGACTCCTCTTAGTCTTCAATATCATATAAAACACCAAATATCTACAAATATAAAAAAAATTATATAGTGTAACACTGTGGACACAAAATACAAATGAGAATTTGGTAGGTTTTGCACTTACAAAACTTATATTTATAGAAGGCATGTAATTAAATCTCTTTTTATCTTTTCTCTTCCATGGATCTTAAGTAGCACTACATATAAAGGAAGATAAAAATGCAGATGATGGAGACACTGCATTCCTATTGAGAATCCTATTGAGAACCGTCTGAGTAGTGGCCACTGGAGATGCCCCAGGGCTGTAATGTTAAATCTGCCTTTTCTCTGAAAAATCTGTAACTAACTAATGGTTCTGGATCCACCACTGTCTGCACAGTATATGACAATCATTTGGAAAGAAAAACTTCCTATTCTATGACCTTGTAAAAGTCCACCACATGCCATTGGACAAAACATGTTGGGTGAGAGAGTGACAACTACAACCAGAGAGTTTTATTGTTATAAAACTGTATTAACATTGCTTAACCCCTTAAAGACCGCGTGTGTGCTATGTCCTTGGGGACCCAGCTCCAAATGCCGGCGGACATCATAGCACGTCCCCACCATCCTTTGTACTTTCCTGATCATCCCAGGGAGTCCTCCTGCGTCTGATCCGGCCCTGCATCGGATCAAGAGAGCAGCTGCTAAAATACCATTACATAGCAGCAAACAGATATTTGAAGCTGCTGGTGCCTCTGGAGTCCCACGGACATCAAGGTGTAGAGTCCTCCAGAGTCTTGCAACTGTGCATAAACCTTCTATTCGGCCACCACTAACCAATGCTCACAAGCAGAAACGGCTGCATTGGGCAGAAAAATACATGAAGACTAATTTTCAAACAGTCCTGTTCACTGATGAGTGCCGTGCAACCCTGGATGGTCCAGATGGATGGTTGGTGGACGGCTACCCTGTTCCAACAAGGCTGCGACGTCAGCAAGGCGGTGGCGGAGTCATGTTTTGGGCCGGAATCATGGGAAGAGAGCTGGTCGGCCCCTTTAGGGTCCCCGAAGGTGTAAAGATGACCTCTGCAAAGTATGTGGAGTTTCTGACTGACCACTTTCTTCCCTGGTACAGAAGGAAGAACTATGCTTTCCGTAATAAATCATCTTCATGCATGACAATGCACCTTCTCATGCACCATCAATGGCTGCTATAAGGGATAGAAGGAGAGAAAGTCATGGTGTGGCCTCCATCCTCCCCTGACCTCAATCCTATTGAGAACCTTTGGAGCATCTTAAAGCAAAAGATCTATGAGGGTGGGAGGCAGTTTACATTCAAACAGCAGCTCTGGGAGGCTATTCTGACATCTTGCAAACAAATTCAAGCAGAAACTGTCCAAAAACTCACAAGTTCAATGGATGCAAGACTTGTGAAGCTGCTATCAAATAAGGGGTCCTATGTTAAAATGTAACGTGAGCTGTTAAAATGTTTAAAAAGTTAAAATGTTGTTATAAGTTTGATTGAAAGTTTTGAGTTCAGTAAATATGCTGCAAACACAACAAATGACAATTTTCAGTTCTTTACAACCTATAAAGTGTTTTGAAACTTACTGTGCAGAATAATTTGGAACAGTGCATTGTAAGTGTTTTATGTTTTAAAAAAAATACTGTTATCATTAGGGGGTTTGTTCAATAAAATTAGGGATTATTCTAGCCTCGGTGAGGGAATAATCTAAATTTTATTAAAGACAGGAGGCGAATATTTGCTTTACCTTCTTTACTGAAACCTCCAGCAGCAAAGAAACAGTTAACAGAACTTTTCAAAACAACCAATCAGAACAAAGCAACAGTAGTATAAAACCCCTAAGCAGGCTCTTCCACTTCCTCTTTCTTTGATGAGGTCGAGCAGGAGAGCAAGGAAACCAACGAATCCACCTTGTAGCAGACACATCCAGAGAAACAATCGTCAAGCCCAGAGAGTAAACAGATTACACTGCAAGAAAACAGAAAACATTGTGAAAGTAAACTGTCAAGGCAAGATGTCATATCCATACAATATCACTTGCACATCATAATACCTGATGAATAAACAAAGTCTACAGATCTTATTAAGACGTAGTATCTAGTATGTACCTAAACTAAAAGACATTGACGAAACATAATTACAACACAAACATGATGAATAAAACGCACACGGACAATCACTGAATAATAGAAATAACCTTTATTATGTAAAACCATGCATTCACAAAACATAACAATATCCCCAAATTATTTATAATAAAATAAGACTCAAATCCAGGGAGGGAATTCGCCTCCTGTCTACAATAACATTTAGATTATTCCCTCACCAAGGCTAGAATAATCCCTAATTTTATGGCAGGACAGGAGGCTTCATATTTGCAATTTTAATGCCCAAATAGTAGAACCAGAAGCAATATGAGAGAGGACTGAAATAAAAGGAGAATGGAAAAACCGAATCACTAAACCAAGCAGCAGTGTAGAGAAAATGCAGAAGGGACCCAAAGGCTTCCAAAGTTGTTGAAGTGACAGCACCTCAAACCAAAAGTGTCCCAGAGAAACTCTCAAGGTCAGCCAATGAGAGGAGCCACCAAATCCAATGGGCGAGCGAAGATGCAGAAACTGTCCAAAACGGCCGTACGCAGAAATCAACAGCTGTCCATGAGTAGACGGATGAAAGAACCAGATCCTGGATCTACATGGTCGTGTACAACCTGTCAACAGAGCCGTGGCCTATCCGGAGAATAGGGGTACGACACAGAGGATGAATAGAAATGAAATGTGTGGAGCAGAAGCCGATGTACTGAACGGCAAGAAGGAAGAAGACACTACGTCGATACCATGACGTCAGAACGCGATGAAATACAAGATGTACTGGGGAAAACCGTAAGGGGAAAAAACTGGCGCAGGGCAAGTCCTTGTCATCAGGTCGTTCCTCAAGGAAATGCAGAACACACGATACCACTAGAATTGAGGAATAGCGAGAGATAGGGCTCCCGTATGGTATACTCCTCTTGATAGACTGCACACCAAGAGATCCTTAGCAATGCCAGAATCTTGAGAAAACGCACATGAGTCATCCACTAGCTGACATAGGACGTGAATGGCCCCATACGATCCTACCCTGAGAGGGCAACTCAGCCAGACAATGGGGACAGCCATGATAAGGACCGCCATAGGGACCCAAACATCTCTCCAGACACCAGTCGTGGCAGGCTACCCCCGTGGATCCCCACGGGACATTAAGAGACAGGGAGTCGTAGATTACCTTCTCATGGCAAACTCCAGCAAAAAGGGGAAAGCATGGAGGACTCCTCCGAAGTGGTGTGGCTACATGAGTTTGCGCACCGAATGTAATCATGCCAATACTCGAGACCCCGGAGGGTGACACAACCAATCATTGGGGTCTCTCCATGGTCGGGTTAGGCCGTCCGCTACATGAGTTTCTCGTCCCGCGGACATTCTGTCACAAATGACGAATACTTGTCCAGAAGCTATAGATAGCGATCCTACGTGAGATCCGACTGCAGTCCGTAGTGGGCAACCGGTGATAAGTCCATGCCGGAAGGTAGCGAGCAATACTACTTCCCCTGTGGAAGCTGCGAACAGGCGACATATGCACTGGGAGCATGTAGCGTGGGGATGGGGCGGGAGTCCACTCCATCGCACCCTTCGCCCAGCAGGGCAACTTCGGAATGGACGCCTCTTTCGGTCATGCGTATCGCTCATGGAACGGTCCAAGGTAGTTCCATGCAGTTGGCATGAAGAGGTCCCTCCTCCGGACTCCAGGGTCCAGGCCGAAGTTGGTTGGGGTCCGAAACTCCTAGGTAGGCCAGGTTCCCCTATGTCGGAGTCATCAATTAAGTTTTAGATGAGCTTCGTCCGAATGTCACATGATTAGGTCGTACCAGACCAAAGACCCGAGAAAGCGTCATGTTGGAGCGGCTGATAGTACCGGATCCTGGAGGTATGGCCTCCATGGCGAATAATAATCGGTCAATTGACCGGGTTGGGCCCCTAAGTGTGACCCGCGGGTTGCGGAGCATATGCCTGGTATTATCCTTGAAGACGGACATCTTGGTCCTCGGGAGGCGGAGCACCGCCTGGACCGAATATTCCATGAAAGACCAGAAACTGGGTTGACTGGGAGTGAGTCAGATTCAATATGTCCATGTTGATGGAGAAATCCATGCGGGTTTCTCTCATGTCCAGTTGAGGGAGAGAACCAATCATCCACGCCGAGCAGCTCTGAGGGGATGAGTGCCCTCTGTATCGAAGTGTCAACAGGCGACATATGCACTGGGAGCATGTAGCGTGGGGATGGGGCGGGAGTCCACTCCATCGCACCCTTCGCCCAGCAGGGCAACTTCGGAATGGACGCCTCTTTTGGTCATGCGTATCGCTCATGGAACGGTCCAAGGTTCCGCAACCTTGATCCTGAGTCCAGGCATGGTCCGAGAGACATCTGGGGCTAGTTAAGGGGGAACCCTATGAATAAAGACGTGTCAGCTCAATTTGTACGTGAGGGTAACTCCGGAGAGCAGACCCAGCACTCGGATGCCAAATCCGTCAGTTTGATGTCCAGCTTGGACAGGGGCCGTTTTGCGGTTCTCAAACCAACTAGGCGATACCTATAAGTCATATCGGACCATTCCCAAATTGGAATGGGAATTTAGTCTTCTCTGCTTTCCAAGCTGTAACGCGCCATTCGTCTCGAGGAGAAATCTGTGTCCGCGTGTCATCAACATCCAGTGGTAAGTCCCGGATAGAGTGCAAACCTTTGCGGTGTCCTTTCCGGACTCCGTCATGAAGACTGATCCTCTTGATGAATCCATCTGTTAGCCAACGAGTACCAGGGGTGCTTGGTGTAGCGTCTAGGATGGCCGGTGCAGTGTCCCCTGTAGGGTACCGATGGTTTCTGGCAGTGAGGTCAGCGGGGCGGCATGAGGACAGGCCAAGTGACCTTCTGGGTACGGGAGATTTGTTCTTCAGTCGGGATTGCATAACTGCCATAGAGGTAACACTGTCAGAGTGATACCTGGTGCGGCCAGCTGGGGGTCACCCAGCGTGCAAGAGGGGGTCACCCAAAAAGCACAAGCATACCATGCAGTATAGGCCAGCAGGGGAGGGGGTCACCCTCAGTCTGAACATAATCGGACACTGTAGGTACAGTAGTGCCGTAGTGGTTAGCCGTATAATAAAGTAACCAGACATTGCCGGTCCAGCAGTGCAGACGGCAGGAGGGGGTCACCCTCATATAACCATAACCAGGCATTGCAGATCCAGCAGTGCTGTAAGTAAGAGGGGGTCACCCTCAGTGTGGTATCATAGAGGTCTGTACACCTAGTAGTGTAGTCAGTGAGAGGGGGTCACCCTCATTATGGTTATAACTGGACCCTGTAGGTCCAGCAGAGTAGTCCACAGGAGGGGGTCACCCTCAGTATCTGCGTATAGCAGGGCACTGTAAGAACAGAAGCTCAATCAGTGAGAGGGGTACCCTCTTTTATGGGAATACCCGGACGCTGCAGGTCCAGCAGTGCAGACTGTAGGAGGGGTTCCCCCTCGGTATGACAATAACAGGACATTGCCGGAGCATTAGTGTAGGAAGCAGGAGGGAGTCACCCTCAGCATTAATCCTACAGGATGCCGTAGAGCAAGCCAGGGTACTCATTGGTAGCCATGTTGCCAGAGGGAGGGGGTCACCCATCCCACAATGGTTATCTCACTGGTCCATTATTATGGTCCAGTAACAGGTAGAGCCCCAGAAATATGGACGGGGGGGGGGTCACCCCCCGTAATAACAGGGCTGTATGTGGGGCCAGTTAGCCCCCCTGAGGGGTAGAAGGGTCCATACAGCTAGAAGCTGACTCACATCTACAGACCACTCAGGTATTATATTAGGATCTCTTTTGAAGTGTATGTATAGTGGAAAAAAATAAGTCCCTTGCAGGAAGGGCAGCAAATCCTAGGCAGGGGAGCTAGGTGCTGAAAAACAGGCCATTTAAATTTGAGAAAATGACTGAACCTTAAGAGAAAGACTTGATTAGCATATATCACATGTGGCATAGTTTTGTTAAACAATTATTTTTTTATTTGCGCAGTAACAAGTCTACTTCTAAGATAGAGAACATAGTCACATTGCATCAGACATAGTAAGCTGCAGTTGTGAGCTGTGAGAGTGCCTGGGACAGATCCTGCTATCCAGGATCTGTTACAAATGCAGCATGGGAGACAGGCACAGTAAGTAGGGGGATAGCTGAAAAACTGGGCTATCTCCCCTGATATAGGGAGAGGGGAGGGTGGCCACAGCAGGCCAGTTCGGTGTGTGAGACCGGGCTGTTCGCAACGCACAGAGCCCATGCGGCTCCGAAAAATGGCCGCCGCAGGTCCAACAAAATGGCCACCGCAGCCGCAAAAAACGAGCGCGGCCTACCGCGTGGTGATCGCACGGCACTGCCACGGTTGAAAAAGCTGCTCAGCAAGCGGCCAGGGCCTGCGGGGTGCAGGTGGGAAATAAGTGAGAAAGGGTATGGGCGACAGAGCCCAGCAGGGGAACCCGGGGAGGGGAAACAGATTACAGGCAGAGCCAAAGCATCATAGCAGGGGCACCCATTACCCATACAGCAGTGTGAGAAAAACTGCATAAAGTAACCCAGAATAACAATAAATCAATGAGCAGTATCCAGAATCTATCAGATAAATAGCCTAAATACAGCAACAGATGTAAACAAATGATAATGCAGCTACATAGCATGAAGTGGTATAGGAAATAACACAGAATAAACTGCCTAGCTAAACCCAGCAATAGATTGCCTAGCTAAACCCAGCAATAGACTGCCTAAATAAGCCCAGCAATAGACTGCCTAGCTAAACTCAGCAATAGCCTGCCTAGCTAAACCCAGCAATAGACTGTCTAGATAAACACAGCAATAGACTGACTAGCTAAACACAGCAATAGACTGCCTAGGTAAACCCAGCAATAGACTGCCTAGCTAAACACAGCAGACAAACTGTTAAAATAAATCCAGCAAGAACTCTGCTTAAATAAATCCAGCAATTAAGCTGCCTAAACAAACCTAGCAAACAGACTGATTAAATAGCCTGTTTAAATAAATAAGCAGCACGTAAGATAAAAAAAACAACCCAGAGCAGAGACAACTCTGAGTTGGTGAGTGCTCACCTGGAGGCAGCAGCAAAGAAAGAGGAAGTGGAAGAGCCTGCTTAGGGGTTTTATACTACTGTTGCTTTGTTCTGATTGGTTGTTTTGAAAAGTTCTATTAACTGTTTCTTTGCTGCTGGAGGTTTCAGTAAGGAAGGTAAAGCAAATATGAAGCCTCCTGTCCTGCCATAAAATTTGAATTGTACTCTTAATAGCTGATAACATGAGAAGTATGCTGACTGTTATTTACATCAATTATTTAGTTAAATGAGAAAAATATCATTTGCATAATAATTTGGAACAGGGTGTATATGTTTAATTTCATTCTAACTGTATTTTGATATTAATATATAAATTGATATCAAAATACACGTAGAACAAAATAATATATAACTTTCCAAGACACCATAACACTAATATTTGTGTTCAGCGAAGTCTCCCGAGTATAACTGTACCCCTCATGTACAGGTTTTATAGTGTTTTTTTAAAGTTACAGGGTCAAATATAAGGCTTGTGTTTCAGTTTTTTCACATTGAAATTCGCCAGATTGGTTATGTTGCCTTTGAGACCATATGATAGCCCAGGAATGAAAATTACCCCCATGGGACGAGCACATAACCGGGGTCAAGGCGAGGGACGAAGAATTTAAAGTCTCCGCATACGCGGATGATGTCCTGGTCACGATCACCAATCCGAGAGAATCCTTGCCCCGACTTATGACCCTCCTAGAGGAATACGGACGCATCACAGGCTATCAAATAAATTTAGAAAAATCGGTGGCCATGCCAATAGAAATGGATGCAGACAGCGTTAACGACATTAAAAACGCCTATCCCTTCAAACTTACGAGATCTGAAATGAAATATCTCGGCGTTAAACTCACCTCAGACCCGGCGAAACTATATAGTGCCAATTACCCGCCTACAATCCAGGCGCTTTGTCGTGACTTGGAAAAATGGCACGAAAAGCCCATATCGTGGATTGGCAGACAACACGCAATTAAAATGACACTACTCCCACGACTATTGTTCTTGTTCCAGGCCCTACCCACCAAAGTCACTAAACAAGACCTGCAGATGATCCAGAAACACATAGATAACTTCATTTGGGCGCAGAAAAGACACAGGATTGCTAGACAAGTAATGTACCGACCGAAAGTGAAGGGTGGATTGGGACTCCCACTCCTATATCAATACTACCTGGCGGCGCAACTAGCCCAAATAATAGCATGGCACACTCCGGAAGGCACGCACAGGTGGGTAGATCTAGAGACAAAACTTATGTGTACGGACCTCCCACAATTTTGGATCTGGGTACCCAAACACGACAGACCCCCCCTACGCACCTCTTGTCCGGCGATCCTTAATTCCATAAGGATCTGGGATCTAACAGCTACCAAATACGCACTAAAACACACACCCTCGCCATTGACTCCATACTTACGGAACAAAGCATTTGAACCCGGGCTGACCGCACGAGATTTTAGGGGGATAGAAGACACAGGAATGCAAAGATACGGACATATGTATGACGGCGATTCCTTCAAAACCTTTGACACCCTAAAAGCCATGGCCCCCCTGACAACCAAAGATGTATTCAGATATGTACAGTTGAGAGACTTTGCCAAAAACCCAGATATTAAAAAAGCAGCACAGACCCCTATGACATTTTTCGAACAAATGTGCAACGCAGAAACCACACAAAAGGGGCTGATCATGGCCATATATGCGCAGTTGAGTTCCCCAGAAGAGGGAACCGCAGACCCTAGATATATACACCAGTGGGAGGGGGACCTAGGGGGGGGCTATAGAAGGGGAGGACTGGGTAGATATCTGGGAAGCGACGGCCAAGACGTCAATTTGTGTACTACACCAAGAACAATCCTATAAAATGCTCATGAGGTGGTACACAACACCGGTACAACTCCATAAGATGGGGAAAACCACGACAGACACATGCTGGAAAGGCTGCGGAGGCAAAGGCACCTTTGTTCACATGTGGTGGGAGTGCCCAGAAGTGACCAAATACTGGAAAAGGGTCCAAACATTAGTGAAAGAGGTTCTCACGCGACACATAGACTTAGATCCCTGGGCGATGCTACTGTCCCGACCAATGGACGGCCTTCCTAGGAAGGAGCAACAACTTTTAAATAAACTCACACTGGCAGCGAGACGAGCCCTCGCGCAGATGTGGCTTAAACCCACAGTCCCCACAGACAACGACGTGATAGTTAAAATTAAAGACTCCCATTTGATGGACAAACTCACAGCACAAATCAGAAATACGGAAAAAAAATTCCAAAACATCTGGCTTCCCTGGGAAGTGTACGCTAACGAAAATGTTATATAGCCTGGAAAAGGTTCGCAGCGGTTTGGCGGACCTCCTCCCGCCGGGCGCCCCGAGATACACCAACCATTTCCTTTCCCCCTCCTGCTCCATCCCCATAGCACCGCTTGGTGGCCCCCCCCTCCTCCCCAACTTTTCAAACCATTGAATATACGAGACTCCAAAACTTAGGACAGCCGGCTGCCATGACCACCGGGAGACGCAGTTGACGAAGACCCAAACCAGGACGCAACGGCTAGACGGAATTTAGGATTGTGAAAGACTAATGGTTTTTATGATGTCTTAATGTTACATACACTGTAAAGTACTAGTTTTTGTTCACGTTTGATAAAAGGTCCTGAACGGACCTAAAACTGAAAACAGGCACCAAACGGTCCACGATCACCAGACCATCCGACAAACCTTTTACTCTTCATTGTATAACTCATTGTAATGTATGTTGCATATGGACCCCTGCGAGGGCCGCTTTCTGCTGGTCAGTGGTACTTGGTGTCGAACTAAAAATAAAGAATTTAAAAAAAAAAAATTACCCCCATGATGGCATAACATTTGCAGTA